TCGCAACTGGAAGCCCAAGGATATCTACCGGGAGGTGTCGCAGCAGCTGGTGTACCAGCAGCAGCCCACCTGGTCCCGTGAGAAGGTGAACAAGCAGGCGGTGTTCGAGTTTGAGTCGGCCGCCCGGCAGTTCATGGTGAGCACCCTGCGCGTGGCCAAGAGCTTCCGACCCAAGCAACTCTGGGGGTTCTACCTCTTCCCCGACTGCTACAACCACGACTACAGCAAGAACAAGGAGAGCTACACCGGCCAGTGCCCGGATGTGGAGAAGACGCGCAATGACCAGCTGGCGTGGCTCTGGAGGGAGAGCATGGCCCTCTACCCCTCCATCTACCTTGACCTGCTCCTGGCCTCCACCCCCAACAGCCGCAAGTTTGTGCGGGCACGGGTGATGGAGGCCATGCGTATCTCGCAGCAGCACCACGATGGCTATTCCCTGCCCGTTTTCGTCTACACCCGACCCACCTACATCCGCAAGCTGGACGTGCTCAGCCAGGTAGGGCTGCTCCACCAGGAGGTCCTTGTCCCAGGCCCTGAGCACCCGGGCTCTGGGGTCAGCCGAGGTGGTCCCCCTGCCTGTGTCCCATCCATGTCCAGAGTGGGATGGCTCTGGAGGCCAATGGGCGCTCTCATGGTGTCATCGGCACCCTGTGGTTTGGCTGTCCCCACGTGGAGTGGGCAGCAGCACCCTTTGGCATGGGGCTGGCCCTGGGGACCAGGAGCAGTGTCTAACCCTGCCTCCTTCCAAGGGAGGGGGGGGTCACGGTGTAGGGATCCCCAGTTCAGGCCCTCTGTGGGTGGATGGGGTGCCACAACCTGCCCCCCCCCTTACGGGCAAGGTGTGCAGCAGCAGGACTGGCACCAATGGTCACCATCGCCAGGGAAGTGCCTGGGACGTGCTGCAGCCGGGACGCTGGGGTGCGTGAGCCCGCAGCCCCTGTGCCGTGCTGGGCTTAGCCCCTGCGGAGGAGGCTGGTCATGATGAGCCTTGTCCCCCAAGGAGCTGGGACGGTCCCCTCTCCCCGTGACCTGGAGCAGGGATGAGTCTTGCCTCCCTGATGCCACAGCAGGCTCTTTGGGGCGCACTGCGCTGGGGCTGCGTGGAGTCTGTGGGCACTAACCAGGCTCTGCCCCTGCAGTCGGACCTGATCTCCACCATTGGAGAGAGTGCGGCGCTGGGAGCAGCTGGAGCCATTTTCTGGGGTGACGCTGACTACACTAAAAACCGGGTAGGTTTGGGGCCAGTGTGTCTCTGGGGAGGTAGATGATGGGGGGGGTTACCCGCCCCCAGAGGGAGACCAATGGTTTGAGGCTGGGGTGTCCCCTCCATCTGGGGTGCTTCTGTCTCTGGGGCACCCCAACATGCCCTGATGCCCCCCTTCCCCCAGGACTCGTGCCAGATCATCAAGAACTACCTGGAGGGGGACCTGGGCCGCTACATCGTGAATGTCACGACGGCAGCGCAGGTCTGCAGCACGGTGCTGTGCCAGGGCCGGGGCCGCTGCCTGCGCCAGGACAGCACTGCCGACGTCTTCCTCCACCTCAACTCCACCAGCTTCCAGCTGCGGCACCGGGATGGGGACCACCCCCAGCACCCCCTCT